CACTTTAAAGTGACAGTGGTGAGGACATAGAGGTGACCCCCGCAACATCTGTCCCCCTTTTCTTAGAAATCATTTCTTCTCTTATCACTTGGGTTTTACTTCTCCCCTGAGCAGCCCATGTGCTCTCAGGGAAGCTAACCTCATGCTGGGTGCTGTGGGGAAGCGCTGTGGCTCCGGAGGCACCTCATTTCCACATTCCCAGCTCCTTTCCCTAAGGGTTAGATCATGGGTGGGCATATGACCACTGGGGGCCACTGAGAGATGAGGCAGGTTTATGAAGGAAGCTTCCTCGACCTTCTAAGAGGGTCATCAGAAGTATCTTTCCTTCCTTCCTGGGTTACCACATGTTGTGAGGGCTGGTCCTACTGTAGCCATCTCACTGCCATGAAGCAAGTCAGAGGGTGAAGAGGACATAGAAGGAGACTGAATGAAAAGGATGGCAGAGACTGGATCCAGAATGCTGAAGGAGCCATGCCGACTGCTTGCATACCTCAGGACTTCTGTAGTAACTTAAGTCAACAAATATTCTGCTTAAATCTGAATTAAGGTTTCTGCTACTTGCAGGGGGGAACATCTCAACTGACACACATAAGTTAAACAAAACTGGGCAGAATACTTAGGGTGATCAGAACCTTTTCATATTAATGTGCATCAAGACTCAAGCATCACGCATGTACTATTACCCCAATTAAATTGGCTGTGGGTTCTCTTCTTTCATAATGCGTCTCAAAGGACCGGATCTAGTGTGACTACCAAGTTTTACAAAAATGGAGACTGAGATCTAGAGATTTAGGTGAGCTTCCTGGCTGTTAGGATTGCCAATTCATGCCAGAGTCCAGGCCCCTGACTCCCAGGTCTGCTTCTCACCTTAACATCAAGCCCTTCTTCTGTGTCTAAAGAGCCTTCTTCATTGATGAACCTCAGGAGCGGGATGGTTCTTTTGCAGAAACTCCAGTTTACTGGAATAGGTTGCAAATTATGGGTTCCATAGGCAGAACAGAACATGAGGTCTAATAAAATGGATCTGAAGTGTTTGAAGTATCAGTTGCCAACACTGAACAATCAGGTATTTCAGACAAAAATATCAATTTCTAGCTCCCTGCATAAAGCTCAGATAATCTGGCAACACTACGCCTCTCTTTTCCCCTGGTGAGATCCGGGCTGGCTGAAGGCCAGCTCTGCTTCCTGGGATGAATTCTTGGCTTCCAGTGATCCGCAGTCCTCACTGTTCCCTGTTACCTCCCAACACAGATGCCATTTGCAGTACCAGGACAGGAGGAATGTTGCTTTACATTTTATAACTAGTCCATTTTATTTAATTCCCTATTTGCCCTCGTAGTCAATAATCTTGTTATAACTGAGAAAGTTAAATTACCCAAAGTTAGATATGAAGAAATAGGTCCAAAGTCCAATCAGTTTGGAGCAACCCTGAGTTAAACAGAGAGGGAACAGATTCTTTACTTATGGGTCTTCATCTGCAGGGCGTGAGGGCCAGCATCCATTTTTTGGCTATGGACATCTTTTCAGAGACCATCTCTGCCACTATTATTTTACTGAATACTGCCCTCAGGACCCTTGCTGTTCTGTGTCCTCACACAGAGCTGTTGGACTAATGTCTTTTCTTTCCTCCTCAGATTTTTATCATCCTGTTTTTCTGATGTTCCCTGAAAGCTGTTTTGAGAACAGAATAATAGCAGGCTGGCCCAGGTGGGTCCAGCTCCTAGCACAGGTGAGCATGAGACTATCCCCAAGAAGAGGCTCATTATTTTGGTACATTCTGGCAGAGCAAGGAGAACAGGACCAGGCTCTCTGCAGCCCACTCACTTTCCTCCCTAAGGAACCAGTTTCTTGGTTCACACCAAGGAACCAACTTCCTGGGGGAAAAAATGACAGGAGAAAGGTCCCAGGGGGATTGGTACCCACAGAAAAATAATGCAACTTAAAATCTGCCGCTTCCAACAAAAGCCTCGCAGCCGGTCATTAATTTTCCTCTTTTTACAGTGTCCTCACTCAAAGGAAAGGGACATGTGCTTCTCAATTCTAGGTGACCAGTGTGCTCACAACATGCAAAACAATTAGGTTTGGTTGGAAAACGAATTAAAACCCTCAGATTATGGGGCTGGGGTTGTGCCTCAGTGTTAGAGTGCTTGCCTAGCATGTGTGGGGCCCTGGGTTCCATCCTCAGCACCACATATAAATAAATAAATAAAGGTCCATCAACAACTAAAAAACATTAAAATTAAAAGAACTCCAAACCTCTCAGCTTAGTTTTTTCTGCACATGGAATTGAGGCCCATCCAGCAAAGAGGCAGAAGCTCACTTGCCGCTCACAGATGAGGGTGGGATTTCACTTAGGGGTTCTTTGGTGACAAACAAGTCCCTGTACCAGATCCCCTCCTGGGAGGCTTCCCCAGTTACCGCTTTTCGAGGGGAGTTTCTCTCATCCACCCTTTTGCCAGCCAGCTCTGAGCTGGCCACTTCATCCTCCTGGGGAAGACAGCCCCCCCTTGAAGATTAGTGGCTCTTCCTGGCTGGAGTGCACAGCCCACAGCCCGGGAGCTGGTCCCATCATCCCAGCAGGGGCCAGCAGCTGTGCCCTTTCTCCTGAAAGGGGTTGATCCGGTCAGAGGCAGTGAGAGAGACCCAAGCTGCTCTTGGGAGAGGTGGGTGCTTTTCCTCTCTGCAGGGAGCCGAGCCCTACTCTGCTGGCCAGTCAATCACCTGAGGCTGCTGACTGCTGGGGCACATGTACCCTGTCATCGTCATCTCTTAGCAAGCCCAGGTGCAACTCCCACACTTCCTTGAGAGCCACGTAGGTGGTCATGAAGTCATGACTCGCTCTAACTCTGTCTCCTTCCCTTGCCCATCAGGAGTGTGTCTTATCCTCCTAGCCCAAGGTGGTCCCTCGCCCAAAAGAAGCTTTGTAAAACAGCAATATGTAGCAAGTGACACTAAATCATGTGGCAAGAAGGTGACCTGCAGTCTCTGTCAGGAAACATCAGAAAGGACATTCAAGGACAGTTTTAGTGCTGGGGGAAATTCAAATTGCACATTCTAACCATAACTGCAACTTGCACTTATTGATCATTTATTACATGTCAGGTCAGGCATAATGCTAAGCACTTTCTCTAGAGATCATCTTGTGCAATTCCTATGACGACCAGAGAAATGGCTCCAATTTTACAAGTGGAAAATCGAGGCTAGGAGAGGTCACCTTACTTGCATAAGGTCATGTAGTTAGCATTCAACCCAGGCAGTGTTCTCTGGTCCTGGTTCTCCTAACACAAGGCTTTCTGAGGACTACTTCCCTTAGGAAAAGTCAGAATTCCTCCCTTCAAGGTCCCCAGACACACTCAAATGGGCCTATGGCCACATCAAATGAAAAAGGAGCGACAATTCACACAAAATTCTTAAAGTTGGATCAATCTGAAACAGTTAAGAAAATGCTCCATAATGAAGTCTTCCGACTGACTTGCCCCCTTTGGGTTTCAGACTGTAATCCTCGCTCTAGGGAACTGAGCACTGAGATCCAAGGAGAGCTCCCCTCACCAGCCTTCTACCGGCCCCAGCTGGAGTGGCAGAAGCCACAACCCCAGCCCCCCAACTCTTAAGGATCACACTGGGGGCCGGCAGGACCTCCCAGGTTGTTTGCTTTACCTGCTGTAGACGAAGCACTCTTGGTTATTGATCACTTTATCCGACTGGTACCTGCGGAGGTCCTCCCAAGCATCTTTGATGGCAGTGACCGCCAGGATGACGCAGACTGGAATCACGCTCAACCCAGGCTGAAAAGCACTGACCACGGGGATGAAATTCAGAATCACGATGCCCACAAAGTAGAGGTTGGCAAACCGGTGCAGCTGCTCAAAGACGTTCTTGGGGATGAAGGACAGCGCCGTGTACTTGCTGGTCTTGATCTGGTTCCCACAGTACTGTTGGTTGGGGTTCTCCCTGAGGGACCATCCTTCAAAGGGCAGGTTGGAGACCACCACCCGCCTCTTGTCGTCTTTCCTCTTCCGCCTTTTCCTCCCCTCCTTTCTCATCTCCGTGCAGCCCTGCCTCTCCAATCCTCATAATTCCATCCACTGGCCTGCTCGGCTGAGAACTTCTCCTCTTCTTTCAAAAAGGAAGACTCAAAATAACCAGCCAGGAGACAGCCAGGACAAGCCAGGAGCCTTCAGGGAATGGGTGTGTACCCACCAGGCCACTTCCTTCTACTCCTGGAAACCCCACCTGTTGGAATGTGGACGTCACCAGCAGGTGTCTTCCTATTTCATCCAGGGCAGCCAGCAACAGGTGCACTGACTCTGGGTCCTAAAACCTACCTCTTCAATTCTAAAAGCAAACAGTTTTATTCTGAGCCTTTAGAGATGGCATTTTCTTGGGAGAAATTACCCAACACCTTCCGAAGGGTTTCTCCTGAACTGTCTCCCGAGATGATTCCATCTTCACTGAGTTTAAATTTTTGGTTTCCAACCCACTCTTTTTTTTTTAAATATTTTTTTTAGTTGTATGAACTCAATGTCTTTATTTGTTTTCATGCGGTGCTGAGGATCGAACTCAGTGCCTCACACGTGTGAAGCAAGTGCTCTACCACTGAGCCACCACCCCAGCTCCCCACCCCCACACTCTTAATAATGCAACCACTTGTGCTTTTCCAAGTTACATTAAGTTTTCTCAACATTAGCACTGTTGACATTTTTGACCAGATAATAATCTTTCACTGTGTGTGGGGTTGCCTTTGGAGTTGTAGGGTTCTCACCAGTACCCTCTGATTCTTTTCAGTAGATCCCAGTAGGACTCTCCCTCCTAGTCTGACAGCCCCAAATATCTCCCAATAACAAATGCTACCTGGGGGGTTCAATTGCCTCCTCTTGAGAATCACTGAATTAAATGAATGTAAGAAAATATGTAGGGAAAGAGACCTACATTCTTGGAACCTACTGGGGAGTTTGTATAACCCAATTGCAAGGGAGAAAACAGAAGCAAGTTTCCCTTACCCTTCATATATTCTGACGCTGGAGTGGTTTATCTCTCTATCAAAGCGGTGTCTCTTGAGGTCCTCCATGCCGTCCTTGACCATGATGATGAGCAGCACGATGGCCAGTGGGAGCATGGTGATCTCTCTGTGGAAGACTTCCAGGGAGGGCACCCAGTTCAGAATCACCAGGAACAGGAAGTAGAGGTTGGCCCCTCTGCAAGGGGCAAGCCAGGTGTGAGTGAAGGCTGCAGAGGAAAAATCTGCTCCCTTTCCTGTTTCTTCCTACTCTTGGCCCGGATGGACAGAAATGACCTCTACTTTCCATGTCATCTCAGATGTTGCGGTAGGGCTTTGAAGCCAGCTGATCTAGATATAAATGCTATTCCTATTGTTTACTGGTTGATTAACCACCTGATCTTATTTTTGCTTATATACTGTGGGGAGAGTACTTTTGACCTTAGAAAGCTCTTATAAATGTTCCATACTAAAATATTTCTTAGGATACAGAGTGCTCCAGAGCATAGTAGTTACTCAACAAATGGCAGTTTATAATAATTATAAAATTTAGGATGATTCCCAAGACCACCTTTTGATTTTTAACCAGCAATGATTTTTTCATACCTTATCTCAGAAGAGTGGCTTGAGTTTTCAAGCACATCCTATGTCCTCTTCCCACAGTGCCTCTGCATGTGCAGGTCTATCTGCTGAAACACTCTTCTGCTCCCTTGCCTGACTTCTACCTGCTTCTTTTCACTCAGCTAATACATTTTCTCCTTTCAGCTTACATTTCAATTGCTACTTCCTCAGGGAAGTTTCTTCTGATCCCTAACTAGGTCCAATTTTCCTCAAATATCACCATATACCTCTCTTTGAAAGTATTTATTCTAGTGGTAATTTTATTTTGTTACATAACTTAGAAATTAGTGTTTCTTTCACTAGAGAATACACTCATGAGTTTGGTCTCTTTTTTTTTCTCAGGTACCTCAAGTGCTCAACACGGGACCTAATAAATATTTAATGAAGAAATCTTCTCTAGGCACCTGCATTAGGGTATTAAAGGAGAGGTGGCCCCAGATAGCAGCATCTAAGTTCATCTCAGGGGCAAACACCTGGTTAAAACAGGTGCTCTTTGGACAAGTGGCTGTGTACCTGTGAAACTGCTCACAGAGATTCCGGGGCAGGAAGGTGAGGAGGCTGTACTTGGTCGTGCAGATTCTGTTGCCAGAGTATCTCCTGGAGACCTTTTCCCAATCCTGGTGGCAAAGGCTGTTGTTGGGGACTACAACCCGCTGCTGCGGCAGGCTCGGGTTCTGCCTCCCCCTCTCTGGAGGGAGCAGTGCCGTGGTCTCTGATGGAGACCCCGGGAAGCCGTCTGGGACTCGCCACCGCCACCTGGGCCAAGATGAGTCCACGGAGAGGGCCATTTCCAGCGAAGGTCTGAAAGCAGACATGTGAGGTCATCAGTATCAAGAGAAGCAGGTGTCATGCCAGCCCATCCCTTTGTCCAAGCAAGGTAGATGCTGGGGTCCTAAGTTTAGGATTGCTCCCTATAATCCATGCATTCTAGGATGAGTGATGTTAAAAAGAATCACATGGAAAATATACAACTGAGCTGTGGTAAGCATTTGGAAGCAGTTAAGGGGAATAAGAGGTGTTAATGACACAGTTGGTGACACTGAGGGAAAAGCCCAGGTGTGGGCTCATGAGCTCAGCCCTGAAGGTGAGAATCCTAGAGCTGGTTGATGCCCGAGGCTGAACTGCCCACCTTCACCTTGCCCACCTTTTCTTTCCTTACTGAAAACTGAGAAAGACTATTCTTACTGTACCTTCTCGTGGGAACTTTGAAAGGAACAAATTGCACAAGACAGAAAAGAATGTCGACACCTTTTAAAACAAAGGGAAAGGTATTTTTTTTCTTTAGGATTTTTTTGCTTCTGAAATTTTCTGATAGTCATGACATTTCAGAAAAGCTCAGCTGTGTTCAGAACCTCTAATGGTGGGGAGAATGGCACAGGGAGGTTTTCCACAGGTGCTAGAGGTGGCATGGCCGTGCTGATCACTGCTGGAGTCTTGGACATCAGCTGGTGGCTGGCGGTAGATGGTCATGCCCTCCTTCTTCCCCAACTCCACCTGGTGGTTTCTGAACCTGAGCCCTTGGCACAGTGATGCTTTTCTCAGATGGTGGAGGAATGTGGTCCACCTAGGCTCTTCTGCTTCCTGAATGGCTTTAATGGAACTTATGAGTAAAGCTGCAAGTGTCCTCATGGCCAAATGTTGCTTTAAGACTCAGAAATACAGGTCAACATGGTGGCGCATGCCTGTAATCCCAGCGGCTCAGGAGGCTGAGGCAGGAGGATCAAAGTCAGCCTCAGCAATTTAGTGAGGTCCTGAGCAACTAAGTGAGACCCTGTCTCTAAATAAAATATAAGAAAGGGCTGGAGATTGGGCTTCAGTGGTTAAACACCCCTAGCAGCAAAAAAAAAAAAAAAAAAAAAAAAAGACTCAGAAATACATTATTCAAAGATTCAGTTTGCAAAGTTAGAAGTGGTGTATAATTGTTGTCCTCACTTAGTAAGCTCAGAGGATGATTCTCTTTTGAGTAAATGAATGAGTAAGTGTCAGGTATTATTAATCTTACTCTGAATGGCCCAGCCTGTCATTGTAAATATTATCACTTAGGAAAAAAAAATGTTCCATTTCCAGTATGAATGGTAATATTTTATCTTCTTGATGCCCATATGATCAGAACCTCATCATAATTCTCCTCATAGCTTTAATCAACCCAAATGATTTTTAATCCATGACCCCAAGGCTGTTTGTTGGAAGCTTTTCAGAGTCTTAGCAAGCCCTTGTAGCAAGCATGAAAAAATAAATGCAATTACAGGTGCCCATCATAACATGACCAAAAGCAATATTATGACATTCATCAAGCCAGAAATAATATCATACATCTTCTTTCTCATTATAAGAAAATATGCCCCCTTCATGGATTCTTTTTTTTATTGCAAAGGAAAAGGAAATGAAAAGATAACTCACAAATAGAGTTGAAAATACAAATGAGAAATTTTGCCTTGGCTAAGGCCATACACATCAGACTTTTCTCATTTTTAGCTGCTAACATCTTTTTAAATGAAGAGATTAAATTGATACAGGAGATGAAGGTATTTTAGAAGGGTGGTTTAAATGCCCATTTATCATAATCACATTCTTTCTAACAACATAAAATAAGCTTCTGTAAAAACGAAGCGAATGTAAGATAGGTGTCAAATCCTTGCATCTAGTTTGATGAGGAACTAGGTATTTTCCTAATTTCAAAGAATTCTTCCCAATCATGAATTCCAATGATAAAAATGATCATCCTGGTATGGTGAAATCTGGCGGACACCAAACAAATCAAGAGGGCAAAGCAAGTATCACCAATATCGGGATAAGCTGACCTCTTGTGCCTCCTGACAGGCCGTGCTGAGAAGAATGTGACCTCATTTCAGCAGGAACAATAACAAACCTCAAATTACAGGTTACTCTACAAAATAATTGGCCTGTGCTTTTCAAGTCAAAAAGGTAAAGGAATTGTTTGATGGAAGGAAGCTTAAAAAGACGTAAGAATGGAATATAATCTGTGATTTGAATAGCAGCCTAGACTAGAGGGGAGATAAATAGGTACAGAGGGCTTTATTACACAGTAGATGAGATTTGGATAGGAACTTAAAAATTAGGCCTCTGTGGGTGTTTGTGTGTGTGTGTGTGTGTGTGTGTATACATTTTTTTTTTTTTTTGTGGGACTGAAGATTGAACCCAGGGCCTTAGGCATGCTAGGAATGTATTCTACCACTGAGCTGCATCCCCAGTCTTAGATAAAGTATTTTAATAATGTCATATTTTCTGAATTTTGTGATAATAGGGTAATTTTTTTTTTAAATCTTGTTCTTAGGGAATCTATCCTAAAGTAGTTAGGGTTAAGGGAAAATTGTCTCAAAGATTCAGAAAAAAAAAGTGTGTGTTTGAATATGAGTGTGGTCGCGGGCGTACACGCATGCTCACACACACTCACACACAGAGTGGAAGAATCGGGGGAGTCTTCCTGGGAAAAGGAATACTTATTAAAATAGTTCCCAAAAGACAATATAAGAGCTAGCAGAGAGGCTGGGGAATGGTGTTCTAGGTAGATGAACCAGTAGTAGAAACAGCAAGAAGTCCATAGGGGTGTCCCAGGAAGACATGGAACTGGGGAACAGAGGCCAGCAAAAGTTGACACTAGAGAGGCAGAGCAGGGTCAGAGGGCCTGTTGAATCTCTTATGCTGAGAGGCAGTGTGTGTGTGTGTGTGTGTGTGTGGCTTCTCAAGTGTTTTAGGCAGAAAGTGACATGGTGTCATCTTGGACTCCACACATTATGCTGGCAAAGTAGGTAGGAATGGGTGGAGGGACCAAGGTTGGAGTGTGGAGGCAACCCTCCACCCACTGCCCGGTCTCCTCTACATAAAGTGCTTCCTGCCAACAGTGGGACAGGAACACAGGGCACTTCACGATTCTTTTATCGGAGGTGTGTTTTATTACTGCACCTGGAAGAGCCGCCCAAGGTCCTTCCTGTTACAGTCTGTCTCATCCTGCTTTTTCCTGAAACCACAGCTCCCACTATCAGAGGACGTTAGGATTGCCTAGCTTTGCTAAGTCACGCTCAGATCACCTTGGCAACCCTCACAAGTACCCCAACATGACTTTCCTCTTGCCAGGATGTCCTCTAGATTATAGGGGGCATTTTTATGAGGTGTGCCATTAGCTTAATATCCTATTTTTATTTTTGGAAACTCATTGCCATTCCCAAACTTTCTTAATCATGCCCCATTCAGTTGACCTCAGTTCCTTCCTCTTTTTGATGAATCCAAATAAATCCCATCATTAGCAAATTCCATTTTTACAGGCAGGGGGCCAACTAAACAGATATTCACCAGATTAATACATACATATTGAATCCTTCTGTTGTATAAGAGCAGTAAACACTACACTCGGATCTCTCTCCTTAGGAGCTTACTTGGGTGTGGCTGAGAGATTTTAAATGGACGCTTGGAGAGATAAATAGATACTCACCAACCAGGATAAGTATCACAAAGGAGAGCAGGGGGCAATTCGATTACATTTCAGTGGGGTTGAGTTTGTCCCTGAGGAGGTGGGGCTTGAGCTGAGATCAGGGAATGAGCAGGGGAAGCAGGATGCAGCAGACCAATTCTCTAAAAACATGTGAATCAGTTGGACAGGACCATGGGCCATGGTGGGTGGAGGTGTGTGTGGGGGGCTACTATGCAATCAAGATCTATACTTAGATTTTTTTTTTTTGGTTTTAAATTGTATTGTTCTTCGCACTGGTTTTATTAGATGCTAACTGGTTTAGGAAAACCAGTTTTATCAGGATTTTAACTAGTTTTATCACAATTTTAAGAAGATATTTTCTAAGCTTGCTTGTATGATAGGTAGATATTTTGCCCATCAATTCTTGGGAAGCACCTTGCTCTGAGACTTCCAGTGAGTAATCAGTAGGGTTTAGCTGATGACTCTCTGTGTTTGATGGAGACACATTTAGTGACTTACTTGAGCACACTCTTGAGACCCTGTTGGAAATTTCCATTGACAACCAGTATATTACCCTGATATTAGAATTAATTAGAATCTAATAAAGCTGGGTCATCAATTAACCACGGAATTTTTAAAGTAATCAATCCTCAGGACAAAATGTGTAAATCTCACTAAGAATTTTCTACTACTAGACAATAAACACACAATAACCATCTTGGAAGAAATGACCTGAAGTTGGCACTTCCTTGAATTGGTGAATTCTATCAGTCTTCCTCAAATGGTGACCACTCTTGAATCACATTCCCAATTTTTACCACACCCAAATATGTGTTTAATTAAATGCAGTTATACTTTATTTAAATCAAATTGCCTCTTAAAAGCTTAAATGTTGACTTTGTGCTAATGTTAGCTTTGTGCTAAAAGCTTCGATATCTGAAACTAAGAAGCTTGATATATATGCATATTTTAAATAGGAATTGCCAATAGGAAGTACTTTGTATTAATAAAAAAGTTTTGGCATTAATAAAAAGTACTTTCTGCTAGTAGGGGCTATTATAACAGTACCCAGTAGACCTCACAGATTAATCCTATGCCCAACTCTTCAAAAAAAATGTCTTTCAATCTGGGTCCTGACAGAGATAGTCAATTGTCTTCTAATACTTTTAAGTACTTCCCATAGAGCCCGACATCCCTTGTACGTAGAAGAGGCTGTGAAACAAGTTCTGGACATTAGGTGATGAGCAAAGCAGGGTAATTCACATCTGGGTCCCTGATAGGACCTTCTGAGTTTGGCTTCTTTTTCTTAACATAATGTTCTCAAATTGCATCCATTATTCTGCAAATGACATCATTTCATTTTACTTTATGGCTGAA